ACGAACAACACAGCTGAAGCATGATTACTTTACATAAGTGAAAAAGAAGGACAGGCAGAAGTAACTATGAAAAACAAAACAGATGGACTGCACTGTGAACCAGCAGTGTTAAGAACAACTACTAACAACACTACTGGAACTTAAAATCAGTAGAGATCAAAGTAAGTTGGAGCTCGAGGTATTCAGAAGGCTTGGGGGGAGGGAACTGCACCAGCAAGTGGGAGGGGGTTATGTATGGATGCGTGCGTGCAGCACAGCAGCTGTGCACGCAACTGCCAAAGGACGCGCGCGAGCCCTCCGCAAGCACCGACAATTTGCTTTTTGCAATAATATAAGCACTGTTTCTTGCGAAAAGAAATTTTTTTGTTCTTTTTCCACTTAGTTTTGCAAACAGCAGCTGTGACAGAACAACAATCCATAATCAGTGTATTATATTTAGTCTTTGCTAAGAAAGGCAAATGTTTTGTCCACAGTGGCGGCTAACAGTTATCGTAAATGATGACAACAGCAGTAGCGACGATAGCTGCTACAACAACAGCAACAATAATTGCCACAAGAATACAACACATACGATAGTAGTCACCACTGGTGGTAACGATGGTGATTATGAAGCGGGGTAGCTGTGATGAATGGCAACACCGGCGAAGGAAGGGTAAGACGAGTGTGATGGTAATGGCGACAACGACGATGACGACCAAGTTGACGATGACAAAGACGACAATGGCGACAACTAGTGCAGCTATACTGTCCGGCTACATGGACTGCAGTAAAGTTGTCGCCAGTCAGCTAAGCATCAACCGTCGCCATCAGAGTAGTTGGGTGTTTTGCTGCTGTTACCGCTGCGGTAACAACGCTGGCGGCCAAAACACAGCTCGGACACTCAGGGCAAAACGCGGTAGCTGCACACAAACCATTTGTATGTAAAAAAGTGACGGACGTTGCCCACCAAACACAAACATCAAAAAATTTGTGCTGCTTTTGAGCCCCGAATGTCGCGCCGCATCACACATTTTCAACGCATCGCAATCAACTTCGTCGGTATGCTGAAACTTTTTTCTGTTTTTGTCTCATTTGGTTTTTAAAAAGCATCATTACAGTTACTCTTATTTACAATTACTCTTATTGTTCTTAATAAAACTTAAGGCAGTCCGAGTAAAGGCTCTTTACTGTTGAAAGTTTTCATAATTAACTAGCCAATAAAAAAACTCATGCTGTACTAAATTTTCAAGAAGTAATTATTAACGTTATCTCAGAACCAAAA